TCTTCTCGGGTCGGGGGAGGTGCATATCGACGTGGTGGCATGATCGGAAGTGTTTTGGGAAAGAGACGAGAGAATGAATGGGGAGAAATCAAGAAGAGAAGGAAAAAAAAAAGGTGAAAAGGGGAGAGGAACAAGAAAAAAATTTTGGTGGGTTTGGTGGAGGCAAATGCTAGTGAACCTTAGGGTAGGACTAAGATTGGGCTAGCTTTGATATCAAATGATACTGCAGATAGCCCAAACCACGACTCAAAATAACACAATTTTATTGATGATTTCGAAGGAAAGTGCAACATGGACTAGTGGACGAAAACAACACAATTTGTGAACAATAATATAAGAAATAACGACTCAACAAATAGTAAAATAAGTACTACAAAGAGCAGAAACAGTCCTGATTCAGCTCAGATGGAGTTTGTAGCTCCGTCGGAAGGTTGGGGAGGTGTCACCGACAGCTACGAAGATGTTGGGGTGAGTGTCAGTGCTAGAGCAGTGCCGAGAGGGGGGTTGCAGGTATTATAGCTGGCTGGACGAGGGTTGGGAGTGGGCTGCAAATACTATTGCTGGCTGGAAAGGGGTGTTGGGAGGTCTTGGATGTGTTGTGGCTGACGGGGGAGGCGTAGCTTGGAGAGGGGTGGACCTGAACCCGGAGGGGCTACGAAGGGCCGTAGGAAGTGCAAAAATGAATGGCAAGGCTCGGAGAGGAGCTGAGAGGGAATAGAGGCTCCTGTAGTCTGTGATGGGGTACGAGCGTGGTGGCCCTACTGGCTAGAGTGAGGGAGGATGACAGTCGCGGTAAGTGACGTCGGGACTATAAGAGAAAGCAGGGATACACACCACCTTGGCGGGATATAGCCGTAGCACCACACTGCCGAAGGATACAAACCTCGTAAAAGGGAGAACACCAGGAACAATACCTGAAATCAGAAAATCAACTACTGTTTAAGGCTTAAGCAAGAACACATATAAATATAGAGAGGCTAGTAGCTAGCAATGATAAGATTTGAGAAAGGAAGGGCAGGAGTGGTAGAAAATCAAGAGGCGGGGATGCAACGACTAGGAGGAAGAAGTGCTACAACGTCTATGAGGAAGATTAGGTCACGACAGTATGCTTTTAATAAAGTTAGATCAGTCCCTATTGGATTGGTCTTTGATCACGCCCGGTCGGCGGGCGTGAGCAAACAACCCCCGTATCAAAGACTACCCAGAGATTTCACCCTCAATTTGCGAGGACTTTTTGATATGGCATTCAAAATTTCCCATAAGCGCAAACTCCTATGTTTAATTACCCTTCCTGAAGAAGGAGAGCACTTTCAATTAAGACTAATCATTAAGAATTGAATATTTAATAAATAATGGCAGCAGACTTAGGATTTAAGTTGAAAATTTTATCAATTGAAGCTTAAAGCAGATGATGAGGGAAAAGATTATGAAACCCAATCAAGTTCAAATAGTTTCGTCGTCCCAGAATTTTGTGGTCTCAGATCTACTTGGTCAAAGGAGGTGATTGATCTAACTTGATTGAAAAAACCTCGTCATCAATCATTGGTTGCATCATCTAAGGAATTCTTGTATATTTGGGGTGGATGTTTGTTTAAGACGACAAGCTTAAGTCGGTCTTAATTGATAGAAAGATTTTTGTTAATCAATTGTACATTTATGGTTCACTACTCAAAGGATAGAAACTCATTGGGAAACATACGGGCTACAGTAGTGACCGTAATATGATGGTGTCATTTGGTGGCAACAACCCGGTCAGGGGTTTTGGTAGTAACCAGTACTTTGTGGTGTCATTTGGCCGCAAAACCATGCAGAAAGATGACTCGTGTCACATCCTCACTAGCTTGAGATTACTTTTATTGTGAATATAATGGTACACTCAAAGTAACATCAGCTCTCTTGTGAGTTCATGCAATCAAAAATTTGTCGCTCTCGATAAACTATAATGGAGGGTGAATTGATTTTTTATTTTAGATTTTTCAGTGATTATTTCACTTGAATATTGGTTAAAAACTTATACTTAATGTTGATTTGAAATTAACACCTCTGGTTTTAATATTTTCAGTTAACATGACCATCAACAGGGACTCAAGTATTTGAAAATTTTATATTTGAAGAGGCGTTTAATGTATTGCGTTATGCTTTTCTAAGACATAAGCCATGTTGACTCCTATCTTTATATGAAGAAAAATCAGACTAGATGATCTGGACTTGAAAATTCCTATTTTAAGATCTGAACATTTATTTCAAAATTGTTAAACTCATCAACTCCAATCCTTACGATGATGAGAATCAGACTAATTGGGTAAGACCTAAAACCCTATCTATAGGAAATACAGTTTAAGTAGCCCGAGCAACCATCTCGAACTAAGTATTTAAGCATTTAAACACATACGGGTGTTTGACTTTATATTTTAGCACACTTTCAAGGATTTTACATACTTTTAAGTGACTTAGATGTTAATTTAAAATGTGTTTAAGAGATAATTTGTTTCAAAAATTGGCATATGCAGCAAGTTGAAATCATGCGTAGCTGACTCATTTACGTAGAAGTTCTAAATTTATATAACTTGAGAATACCCAAACTTTTAACTTATGCGGGCTTTTAAATACTCTCACGGATCTCCACGTGTTGCATTTTGCATTCGATTTAGAAAATAATCTTAAAATTTAAAAGCCTTGAAATCATTCAAATTTTCATTCAAATTTTGAGAAATTTGCAAAAGTGATCTTGTATTTACATAACTTCATTTGAAGCCTAAAAAGGATCATCTTTTGTTAACTAGCAGACACACTCGTATTTGAATTATTTTTCGTCCCTAGGAGCCTAAGTTTGAAATAAAATCAATCTTGAATTGATTTACAAAACCTATGAGCCTTAGACTAAAAAGTTCGATTTCAAATATTTTTAAGTCATGTGAGCTTAAATTTAAAAACACAAATTTTAATATATATATATATATATATAATAATAATAATAATA